TAAAACCCAGTGAATAACACAATGCGTAAAGATGTTAAGAATGAATGTCCTTACAGTAATGAAAACAGTTCATTAAATTAGTATTTCAGGCGTTCAGTCATATGTGGTACATCCATTAGCATAACAGTACAGTAAACAGTAGGTCTTAAAAGACCAGACAGTAAATGATGGCCATCAGTCAGTAACAGTAGTGGTTCCAACGAGGGAATCGACAGAGATCTCTGTAACAGTAACAGTAAACAGTAGTTGCTAAGGATGCCACAGTACAGTTCAGAATATAGGACATACATTCATTCAATTAACAGTAACAGTTCAGAAAACAGTACAGTTCAGTTGTTTAGAAGATAATCATTTTGAACATATCTTTACACAGTTGTTACTCACAGAGTTCTGGGCTACAGTAAGCTAGAGCGCGTCCCCAGTCGCTAACCCTACACAGTTACAGATTGAACACACACTAAGCTACACAGTTGGGAAAGATAACAACTTAATCCCTAATTTGCCTCGGTGTGTTCTACATCTATATCCTCATTAAGATGCCTTAAACTAGGCCTAATAATGCCTAGGATGAGATGAGGATGCAAAGATGCACTTTAAAAATATTTTCAGAATTTTCAGAAAACGGGAGTCACGCTCGAGCGTAGGTTACTCCGCTCAATCGGATATGCAGACAAAGGTTTCCGCTCAAGCGTAGAATTACCCGCTCGAGCGTTCTGCAAAACAGTCAAAAGTGCTGGATAGGTGAAAATCACGCTCGATTGGGCGCTCGACACCTGCTCGAGAATGAGACACGATGTCCCGCTCGAGCGTCAATTATTCCACTTGAGCGGACTTCAAAACAGAACAAAATGCTGGGAGCACGATTTCCACGCTTGAGCGCCAGTCACCCCGCTCGAGCGTGAGTCCAAATTCTGGAAATTCCAGATTTGAACCTCAAGCTCAAAACCAAGTTTTAAACCATAAATTTTGATCCTCTTGGGCCAATTTTTCCAGAAAACATTCCAAAACTCATACTTTAACATGATTCGAAGCTCAATTTGTAAAATCAAAGCCCAAGGGTGTTTTAAATAAATCTATTTCAAACCAATTTCCATGAATATGAAAAACATGCAAACATGCATGAATTTAAACACTTCAAAGCTTCAAATGCTAGCTCAATTGAGCCAATTCTTTCTAAAAATAAGATGAAAACATGGACTTAACATAACTATGAGCATGTATGTGACAATTCTCCATGGAATCAACTCAAAATGCAACAATTCAAACATGCATGCATGGAATGAGTTCCAATTCAACAACTTGAGCTAGTTCTAGGCTTAGATCACTAAGGGGGTGTTTGGTGGAGCTTTTTTAAGCCAACTTATGGCTTCTAGCTTTTAAAAAGTTATTTTGGACTGTTTGGTTAAACTTATTTCAAACAGCTTCTGATTCTAACAACTTATTTTAAGTCAAAAAAGCTGATTTTGAGAAGCTGCTCACCCCTTGCTTCTGATTATCAGCTTCTGCTGTGGACATGTTAATTCACGGTTATACTCTTAGATTTTTTTATTTTTTATTTTTTTAAAAATAGAAAAAGACCCAAATGGACTATTAAATATTATTATTATTTTTTTATGAAAAATGTAGACAAATAGTGAATAATAAAAAATAAAAATTAATTGAAAAAGCTACTTCACAGTTTATTTAACAAACACTACTCAGCAACTTAAATCTATAATCCAACAACTATACCAAACAGCTTAACAGCTTCTGATTAAAGTCATAATCTATAATCTGTTAAGCTATAATCTATAATCTGCTTTAACAGCTACACCAAACAGCACCTAAGAACACAAGAACCATGGATGAACATTCATAAACACAACAATAAAAGGTTGAATTTCCTTACTTAAGTCTTGAATTAGAGGTATAGAGGCTCAATGTTGCAAGAACTCCTTTAATCCTCCTAATGTCCAAGCATTTCTCTCAAGAACAAATCAATTCTCTCTCTCTCTCTCTCTCTTTCTCTTGGTCGGTTGAGACAAGGAAGGTCTGATGAATTGTGTTGATTCAATGTGTATACAAGTCTCAAAATGTGTAAGGTAGTGGCCACCAATAGGGCAAGGTTGTAATTAAGTCTAAGTTGTGCAATTAAACTTCATTTAATCTAATTTAATCATACTAAATCGATTTTTAGATAAATATGCCATAAAATCCTATAAATTCTGACTAACACAGAACATTAATCAATTTCAGATTCGGCCGTCGATAAGGCTTTCAATTCACAATTTAACCATAAAAACACGAACAGATCAATTAACAATCAACAGATAGAAAATGCATTTAAACAGATACAGTCAATCAATCAGTTTCAGATTTCAGTCAGTCAGTTCAGTATTTCAATCAGTTCAATTACTTCAGTTATCAATCACAATCAGTCTCAGTTTAGCAGAAATCGGTAGTTAATCGGTAAATAGTGATGAAGGTTGTTACATATTTAAAAATAATAAATATTTTTTCCCTATCAATTCTAAGCTTATCTTGGTCACTCAATTGTTTGTTTTGCTGTGTTTGGCCAAATAAATGAGTCAACCACCTGTGCATCATGGTTTAGGGAAGAAAGTGATGAGCTTAATGGGTGGTGTGGATGTTGAATTTGAAAACATCCTTGTGTATCTCTGTGATTATGTTTCTCTGCCATGTGTAATTATAATATGTGTTTGTGTATGTCTGTCTTGGATCAAATGCACCTCCAAAGAAAATCAAAGAAACAGCATGGCAGAGAAAATTAAAGAAGCAACATGGTAGAGAAAATCAAAGAAGCAACATGGCAGAGAAAATCAAAGAAGCAACATGGCAGAAAAAATTAAAGAAACAACCTGGCAGAGAAAATTGAAGAAGTAACATGGCAGAGAAAATCAAAAAAGCAACCTAGCAGAGAAAATTAAAGAAGCAGCAAATAAGCAACTTGGCAAAGAAAATTAAAGAATCAACATGGTAGAGAAAATCAAACAAGCAACCTAGCAGAGAAAATTAAAGAAGAAACATGGCAGAGAAAATTAAAGAAGCAATATGGTAGAGAAAATTAAAGAAGTAACTTGACAGAGGAAATTAAAGAAGCACCATGGTAGAGGAAATCAAAGAAGCAACCTGGTAAAGAAAATTAAAGAAGTAACATGGCAGAGAAAAATCAAAGAAGCAACATGAAGCAACATGGCAGAGAAAATCAAAGAAGCAACATAGCAGAGAAAATCAAAGAAGTAACCTCGTAGAGAAAATTAAAAAAGTAACATGGCAAAAAAAATCAAATAAGCAACCTGATAGAGAAAATTAAAGGCGTAACATGGTAAAGAAAATCAAAGAAGCAACTTGACAGAGAAAATTAAAGAAGCAACATGGCAAAGAAAATTAAAGAAGCAACCTGCCAGAGAAAATTAAAGAAGCAACATGACAGAGAAAATTAAAAAATCAACATGGTAGAGAAAATCTGAGAAGCAACTTGGCAGAGAAAATTAAAAAAGCAACATAACAGAGAAAATCAAGGAAGCAACCTAGTAGAGAAATTAAAGAAGTAACATGGTAGAGAAAATCAAAGAAGTAATATGGCAGAGAAAATTAAAGAAGCAACATGACAGAAAAAATCAAAGAAGCAACCTAGCAGAGAAAATTACACATGGCAGAGAAAATCACACAACTAGCCAGAGAAAATTATGCATGCCAGAGAAAATTACACGTGATAGATAAAATTAAACATACTAGAGAAAATTACACTGGAACTTTACTTAATGGTACTCAGTTCGATTTGAGTCGTGATCGGGGAGCACCGTTTAAGTTCATTCTTAGCCAAAGTAAGGGTTTCGTAATCTTTTCCTTATTTGATAGATCGTTATTGATTGTTCAACCAGAAAAGATTGTGAGAGAGAATTTGTCTGGGTTTGGAGATGGGGAATTTCTCTAGTTTGGGAAAATTTTCTCTGGATTTGGAGAAGGGAAATTTCTCTGGAGAGAAGAGAAGGCCAGGAAGGCCAGAGAAATTTCCAAAATTTCTCTAGAGTGTGAAATTTCTCTGAAGGCTAGAGAAGGAAAATTTCTCTAGAAAGAATGGAAGGTCAGAGAAATTTATCTAGATTGGATAGAATTTCTATAGTCCAAAATTTTTTTAGATAGAATTTCTCTGGCAAGTCCAGAGAGATTCTCTGGATAAAATTTCTCTAGATCAGATTGAGGGACCTTAGACATTATGAAAATATTAGATGTCATTTATGCTATAAAATTTTAATACCGAGGACCTTAAAAAAACCTTAAAATAATTTATTCCTAAACAAGACTTAAATTGGGACAATTAGGAAAAAAGTTAAAAAAAAAGTTAATTTTTTAGTTTTTTAAATTTTTTTACATAAAAAAATCACAAAAAAAATCATAAAAAAGCCAATTTTTAACACAAAAAGCCAAAAAAATTATAAAAAATCCAAAAAATTAATTATTTTAGTAATTTTTCAAACCACCACATAATCTATCAATGGATAAATCCTATCGTGATGTGATGATGCACATCAACATATGGTGTTGTATAATAATGTCCCGCTTGATAATTTTTAATTATAATTAAAAAATTATTATGTTATTTTTTTATTTTTATATCTTTTAAAAAAATTAAATTTTACTAAAATAATTTATTCTCAAATAAGACTTAAGCTTCATTTGACATTGACTACAGTAGTTAATTTTTTTGTATTGAAATTTTCTTTTTAATCTTGTTTGATTTTTTTTAGATTTTTTTAATTTTTATAAAAAAAATTATAATAATTATAATTTCAATATAATATTTTATCTTTTTAACTTACCTATTTTATTTTTTAACCCCAAAATGTTTAAAACGAGGACTTAAATAAATAATCTATCAATGGATAAATCCAAAACCCTACCATTGGTCTTGTCTGACGAGTTGGACATTGTACAAGCCTTCTTCCTTTGCTGTATAATAATCCATCAATGGATAAACTCAAGGCCCTGCCATTGGTCTTGTCTGACGTGTTGGACATTGCCCCCCCAAGTCTTCTTCCTTTGCCTTGCTCACCAAGTCTACTATTACAGTACATTTTTTATTATTACAGTCTTTTTTTTTTCAAAAACCCAACAAATATAAAAGAAAACGATCAAATCAGTCGGAGATCTCATCAAACTAATACCCAAAAGCCTCTGAATTTGATCCAAAACCGAAACCCAGATTTCAATCTATGGCTAATTCCAACGACGACAGTGTTACTCACGATCTCCTCTCTCTTCTTTCCTCCGAAGATAGGGACTTCCTCGTCCGCAACAATGGGGACCAGGTATATTACAACCCAGATGACTTTAATTTTTTTCTGGGTTAAATTAAATGTTTTGAGATGCATATTCTTGATTTATGTTGGGAAAAAGAATTGGGTTTTGTGTTCTATTGATTAAGAAGTGCTGTAGGGAAGCAATTTCAGTAGATGGTTTATGGAAATGCTTTTGCCTGTTTGGATTAAGTGATTTTGGTGAGAAATGATGAGAAAATAGATGTTTTGCTCATGTTTAGTTTACAAATTAAGTGAGATATCGTAACAAATGAAGAGAACTCTTTTGTTTTGAGAATTTTATTTAATATTTCTGTTCAAGCGATTTGGTAAAAAATGATAAGAATGAGGTTTATAAATTATGTGAGAAATGATGAGAAATTAAGTGAGATTTGATGAGAAAGGAAGCTAATTAGATGTGTATTTTTCCATAATAGTAAGATTGTCCATCAAAATACAGAAATAGAATTTTTTTCATCCATATCCATATCCATATCCATATCCATATCCATATCCTTACATTCCTTACTTTTTTTCTTATGAAAATATAAATATTTTTGCTTTGCTTTATGCCATGTTGAGAGGCATATATGGATTTTAATTTAAATCAAGGTGTTTATTTCCCTATACAAACTAGTGAGATTGATATGCTAATTTGACATTTTTCAGGTTAAAATCAGTTCTTTGGCAGGAAAGATAGTGGGATTATATTTTTCCGGGTCATGGTGCGGTCCATGTCGCCGTTTCACCCCAAATTTGGTGGAAGTTCATGAAGAACTTTCATCTAAAGGGGACTTTGAAGTTGTCTTCATCTCATCTGATAGAGTTGATGAAGCATTCGATGCCTACTTCGCGAAAATGCCATGGCTTGCCATTCCATTTTCCGATTCTGAGACAATAAAACACCTCAAGGAATTGTTTAAAGTTAGGGGAATTCCTCATCTTGTGATCCTTGATGGGACTGGTAAGGTTTCAAGTAATCAAGGTGTTAGGATCATACAGGATTATGGTGTAGAGGGCTATCCGTTCACACCAGAAAGAATCAATGTTTTGAGAGAGGAAGAAGAGGCTGCGAAGAAGGAACAATCCTTGAGATCTATCTTGGTTTCAAAGTCTCGTGATTATTTGATTTCAAACAATGGAATTCAGGTAATGTTTACAATTATTTGAAAAGTGATGAGGATAAAAAAGGAAGTGAAAGAAAAAAATTCTTGTAAGCATTTAAGAGACAAATTTTGCCAGAGTAAAGAGAGGAATTTGAAATTTTAATTATTAGTAACTCCTGCTATGAAAAAACTTAGGACTTGTTTGGTTTGTATTTTAATATATAATTTTTGAATTTTTTTTTTAATTTTGTTTTGTTCAATTTTTTTTTAAAAAAATTCTAAAATTATTCTCTTTTACACATCAATCAATAATTTTTTCTCACTTTTCTTTTCTTCTCAATCACTTTTTCTTTTATACACATTTACTTAATTATCACAAAATATCAAATTATCTCAAACTCTCAAATTATTTTCAAAATATACAAATAAATAAATAAATAAAAATTCTAAAATTTCTTTCTTAATTTTTTTTTTTTAAAAATTATCTCAAAATACAAATCAAACACACCTTGAATTTTCTTGGGTTTTGTTTTTACAAGAAACTAAAAAATTAGTTACCATATTAATATATATGTACAAAACAAAAATAAAAAAACAAAAAAAGGGTAACTTTCTAATAGTTTCCACCACTTTTATGCTAAACAAATTCAGAAAAAAAGCTTTACTCTTTTTATTTTCCCTCCTTATTTTCCCCCACTTTCATCTTAATCATACTCAGCCTATAGGATTGATGAGTTTAAGGACATCCTTAATGACCTTTAATATGGTTGCTATCAGATTCCTGTTTCAGAGCTTGAAGGGAAGATGGTTGGCCTGTATTTCTCAATGACTGCTCATAAAGGATGCCTCCAATTCACCACAAAACTTGTGGATTTCTATAGGAAACTCAAGGAAAAAGGCCACAATTTTGAAATCGTGCTAGTATCTCTAGACGATGAAGAAGAGTCTTTCAAGGAAGGTTTTGACACTATGCTGTGGCCAGCTTTGCCTTTCAAGGACAAGAGCTGTGATAAACTTATTCGATACTTCGAGCTTAGAGCCCTTCCAACATTGGTTATAATCGGTCCAGATGGGAAAACTGTAAATCCAAATGTTGCAGAGTTTGTTGAAGAACATGGTGTTGAAGCTTACCCCTTTTCACCTGAGAAGCTAGCTGAGCTTGCTGAGATTGAGAAGGCAAGACTCGAAGCACAAACTTTGGAATCAATTTTGGTTTCAGGTGAAAATGATTTTGTGATTGAAAAAAGTGGTTCCAAGGTATGATTACTCTTGCAGTTCTTAAAATTGAGTTTGATTAGGCTCATTTGTTATGAAATTAATCCCCCATTGGTACCATTGTGATCATATTACTTGGTTTTTTTGTGGGTTAGGTCCCAGTGTCTGAACTTGTCGGAAAGACCGTTCTTCTCTATTTCTCGGCCCAATGGTGCCCTCCATGTCGTGCTTTTCTACCAAAGTTAATCTCAATATACGACGAGATTAAGGCCAAGGACAATGCATTCGAAATAATTTTCATCTCAAGTGATCGCGATCAACCCTCCTTTGATGACTTCTTTTCAAGCATGCCGTGGCTAGCCCTCCCTTTAGGTGATGAGCGAAAGGCATTCCTCCAACGTAGGTTCAAAATCAGAGGAATTCCTGCAGTTGTTGCCATTGGACCTAGTGGCCGAACACTCACTACAGAAGCCAGGCCGCTGTTGCAAGCCCACGGTGCAGATGCCTATCCCTTCACTGAAGACCACTTGAAGAAATTGGATGAACAGATAGAGGAAATGGCAAAGGGATGGCCTGAGAAATTGAAACACGAACTCCATGTGGAACACGAGCTCACACGAATCCGTCGTAGTGGTTATGTTTGCAATGGGTGTAGGGAGATGGGGCATGGCTGGTCTTTTTATTGCAAGGTGTGTGACTTTGATCTTCACCCCAAGTGTGCACTCAAGAAAGATGACCCAAAAGAGAATGGTGAAGGGGCACCAGGAAAGGCGAAGGAGGGAAGGACTTGCGAGGGAGGCGTCTGCAGGAAAGCATGAGAAAGCATAGATATATATGTGTGTGTGTGTGTGTGTGTGTGTGTGTGTGGATGGAAGTGTCTAGTGTGCTATCCTATGCTAAATAAGAGTTTGTTGTTGTACATTTTGTGTGGAGAAGTCTAGAACTATAAGTATTTGGGAAGTGAAGACATGTTCACATTCATGGTTGGAACTTTGATCTACATCTTCAAATAATTATTGTTATATGAAGCTTACAATTATATATCTTTCATTAACTGAATCCATTTTAGATTTTGATGAATTTGAGCTTTGGAGTTATTCTAATCACCCATTTAAGATCAAAAGGTTACAACTTGAAAAATAACTACTCTTCTTTGTATTTCTCATGAAAAAAAAAAAGAGATGATGAGTGATAATAATTTCTCGAATTTATTAAAATTTTAAATTCAGGAATCTAGAATTTATAGTCTTACAAGTTCTCTGAGTATGAATTTTATTTTTGATGTTTTTGTTTAGAGGACGAAAATGATGCATACTTTTTATTTTTTGATTGAGGATTGAGATTTTTAAAAATTTTCAATTCTGTGAAATCAATTTTAATATTCTCACCTATGTTCTAGGTATGGAAGCCACAATTTTTATTTATTTATTTATTTATTTATTTATTTATGTTTTTCATTTATTATGGATTACGGACACAAGCATTGTTGTAATTGATATACCACATTTTTCATCCAGCTTATAATTATATTTGAATATTTGAGATTCATCAATCTTGTTTGAAGTTTTATTATTAGTTAGTAATATTACTGTTGTTACATTGAATATTTGATGGGTGTTGATAATATTACAGTTGTTACACTGATGCTATGGCGAAGCTTGGTGCGGGGCAACCTGCAGAGTTCCCAGTGGTAAACGATCCCGCAGCAGAATTGGTGGCTTATATGTTAGGCTTATCAAGGGAGGGTGTAGCCCTTTTTGTTTGCTTCATTTTTTAAAAAACCAAGCCTGGGGGGGGGGGGGGGGGGGGGGGGGATTGTGTGTAGGGTGATTTCCACACTGTGAAGGGTTGAACTTCGTGGAAGAAAACCGTGCTCCGAGAAGTAAAGATCTGCACAGAGTAACAAACAATGAACTGCCCGAGTGGGGTTTGGTCGAAAACCCCTCTGATGGTAAAGTCATGGACTAAGGGAGAGGTAGAAGAGAGAATACAAAGAGTGTATATGTTAAGTGTCTGAATTCCCTCCCCCACTTGAGGGTGAATAGTGTTCACCTTTTATAGGAGAAGGTTGCTTGTCCTCCAAGACCTTGTTTTTTGGCCATTTGTCCCATTTATCCTGTTCGTGATCATCTCCAATTGGAGGAGGACGACCACTCTGCCTGACACTCTGGTGCAGATTTGTCTTGTTTGTCTCATTAGTGATCGTCTCTCATTTGCTGGAGGAGGACGACCACTCCGCCTGACACTCAAGTGCAAGTCTGTCATGTGTGCGTCTTGTTCCTCTGCGCCTTCATGTCTTCACATTATGTTCAAACAGAGGGAAAGGAGCAGAGTTGTTTGTCTCTTGCGAGCTCCAAGAAAGATATTCAGTGAATTGGCCTTCTCTAAGTTGGCCCACTTCGGAGTGGTTGCCTCCCCAACTAGGAGGACCAACATGTTGCTCGATCCACTTCAAAGTAGCTGTCCAACATGTTGCTCGACCCACTTCGAAGTGGTTGCCTACCCAACCAAGAGATCCAATATGTTGCTCGGTCCACGGAAGTGGCTGTCCAACATCCGTTTTGGAGTGAGCCTAGCACTAGGCTACTACCTTGATTGCCTTGCTTTGGAGCAAGTTTTTGGTCATTGGGCCGAGCCCTTAGCTCCCCTACTGGTGCGGATCTGGCGTTAGGCCAAACACCAAGACTTAGTTAATTTTATCCCACTTCATTTTCCCCCCAGCTTGCGCTTACGTTTAGCGAAGTGGAAGCCAATTCCGTCACCAGCTTCGAAGTTCAGTTGGTTACAACTTAATTTGAGCTTCATAGTTTGGATTCAAAATTATTGTTTGGCTCAGAGTGTTTGTGTTGGGTCTATCTTGGTTTTTGCTTAGTATTCCGTAGCTCGGTGATACCTCCAAGCTAAACATGTGCATCATTATAAATCTCTTAATTGCCTAGCTCGGTGCTTTCTCGGTCGGCTGAGGGTTGTTGCTTAACTTGAAAATATATATGCAGAATAATAATAATAATAATATACTCTCTTTTTTTTGCAGTGTTCGTCGACTAGGTCGAGCAACTCAATGGCGCTTCAAAGCAGGCCAAGTGTGTCTTATCACAGCCTTGTTCCAATTTGAAAGACATATTGGCTATCTTTTTGCTCGATCCCACTTGTAGGAGATAAATTGGTATTGGTCTCAATGCCTGGTCAGCTAAGGTCTCAAAGCATAGCTTGCTGACACTGCTCGGTCATGCGAATCATGCACCATTTTCTTGATTAGCACGCCTATTTGTTCAGCTTATTTCTTCATATATTGGTCGGTCATTTTACCTTCGGCTTGTGAATTGTCCATCACTTAGTTAGTCGGCCTTAGCAGCTTGTTTGCATAATTTTTGTTTTTCATCACCGTGTTGCTTGGTCGGCCCTAACAGCTTTGGCGTTACGAGTTTGTATTTTTTATTTTGGTTGCTCTACCACTAAGCTACTGTCAACCCTAGCACCTCTGATCTTGAGAGTTGTCTAACACATTATTGTTATATTTTTGGTATCGACTTCGATAATATTGACTCTTGTCTGGCACTGCACTCCTTCGACCTTTGCTCGTTGTTTATAGTGTATTTGTTTGGTAGAACGTTGCACTTCCAACTTTGTTTGTTATCAATCTTTTGGTTGTTTACTTGAGCTTTGAAACTTGGTTTTGCCTTAGCTAGTTTTGACCCGCTCCCTTTGTTTAGTCCATTTTAGAGTGGATGTTAGGCATCCAATCAACCTCTGTTGATTAGTCCACTTCGGAGTGAGCATTGGGTGTCCGACCAACTTTCGGTACTCAGCCCACTTCGGAATAGGTGTTGGGCTTCCAATCAACCTTCATTGCTTAACGCGCTTCAGAGTGGGTGTTGGGCATCCAACCAACCTTTATTGCCCAGCCTAAGTGTTAGGCGTCCAACCAACTTCTGCTGCTTGGCTCAGTCGTTGGGCGTTTGACCAACATTTGTTGCTTGGCCCAAGCGTTGGGCGTCTAACTTCTGCTACTTGGCCTAAGCGTTGGGCATCTGATAAACTTTGTAGCTCGGCTCAAGTGTTAGGCGTCCGACAAACTTTTGTTGCTCGGTCCAAGCATTGGGCGTCCGACCAACTCTTGTTGCTTGGTCCACTTCGGAGTGAGCATTGGGCGTCTAACCAACTTCTGTTGCTCGGCCCATTTCGGAATGGGTGTTAGGCATCCAATGAACTTCCGTTGCTCGGCGCGCTTCAAAGTGGGCATTGGGCGTCTAACCAACAGCTATTGCTCGGCCGAAGCATCGGGCATCCGATCAATTTCTTCAGCTCGGCCCAAACATTGGGCGTCCGATCAATTTTTGTTACTCAGTCCACTTCGGATTGAGCATTGGGCGTCCGACCAACTTTCGTTGCTCGGCCCACTTCAAAATGGGTGTTGGGCGTCCAGCCAACCTCTGCTGCTCGAGTGTTCTTCAAAGTAGGCGTTAGGTGTCCAACCAATATCTGTTGCTCTGCCCAGGCATTGGGCATTTGACCAATTTCTTCTATTTGGCCCAAGCATTAGCCGTTCGACCAACTCTTGTTGCTTTGTCTACTTCAAAGTGAGCATTGGGCGTCCGACCAACTTTCGTTGCTCGACCCACTTTAGAATGGGTATTGGGTGTCCAATCAACTTCTGTTGCTCGGCGCACTTCAGAGTGGACGTTGGGCATCCAACCAACTGTTGTTGCTTGGCCGAAACGTTGGGCGTTCGACCTACTTCTACTCCTCAGCCCAAGCATTGGGCGTTTGACCAACTTTTGTTGCCGATCCAAGTGTTATGCATCCGACCAACTTCTGTTGTTCATCCCTCTTCATAGTTTTTCTGTTTCGTAGCACCTTCGCTGGGTCGAGCTCCTTCTTTTGCAATGAAACTTTAAGTTAATGAAGTATTTTCGAAATTTACCGAGTGTTGAACTTGTACACTTTACTTTCAATTTCTTTCTGTTTATGTTGTTTGTCCCCTAGCCGAGAATCAAGGATATAGCCTTGCATCTTTGGTTGTTCGGCTAGACTTCACCTTATGCCTTTGAAAAATTGAGTTGCTCTTCCGGTCAAGTAACAATAGTGAAACCTTGCAAGATTGTCTGTTTGGCCTTAACTGAAGTCAGTTGTCTTGCCCCCAGCTGAGCAAAAGATTATTGCTTGATCAAATTAGGCTCCATGCTCTCCAGCCAAACAGAGGCTCCGAGGGCGAATGAGGCCTCTGATCAATCAGGCCAGGCATCATGCCTTAGGAAAATTTGAGAAAGAAAGCTTTCCATGCCTCTAACTAAGTAGAGGCTCTGAGGTTGAGTGGGGCGTCTGATCAGTCAGACCAAGCTTCACGTCTTAGAAAAATTTTGAGTAAAGAACTTTTTATGCCCCCTAGCCGAGCAGAGGCTCCAAGACCAAACGGAGCGTCTGATTGGTCAGACCAGGCTTTGTGACTTAGAAAAATTTTGAGGAAATAACTTTCCATGCCCCGACCGAGAAAAAGCTTTGAGGGCGAACGGGGCATCTAATCGATCAAACTAGGCTTCGTGCCTTAAAAAAATTTTGAGGAAAGAACTTTCCATGCCCTAGGCTGAACAAAAGCTCTGGGGGCGAACGAGGCGTCTAATCGGTCAGATCAGACTAGGCTTCGTGCCTTAGAAAATTTTTGAGGAAAGAGTTTTCCAAGTCCCCAGTCGAGGAGAAGCTTCGAGGCCAAACAAACCGTCTGTTCGGACAGACTAGGCTTTGTGCCTTAGAAAATTTTGGGCTAGTTTTACTCATCGGAGAGTGTAGCTTGGCTCTTCGTAAAGTACAAGTTATTATCATGGACCATGCCTTTCAAGTAACGATACTTGGCACAAATTCCACCAAGCTATACCATTTGGGGTCCTACTTCGACCAAAGGACCGAGCTTTCGGGCTGGGGTGTAGGTTAAGACCTGTAACCCATTCTTCCTCAATTGTCGAGTGAAATATGTATAACACATGAAAAGAAACTCAACGAAGAGTGTAACTCGGTTCTTTGTTGAGCGCAAGTTGTTACCATGGACCATGCTT